GTTTTTTGTTGCAAATTAATTTTTATAACGGCAAAAATATATATGTATTGATTTGATTTCTAATTATGTAATGCATTTTTTTATTGTTAAGCCTTGGGCTTATTTAAATATTTATCAGGCCTGCTAATTTAAATACCATATCACATGGCGATTGCTAATAATACGGAGACTTTTCAAATAAAATTATAAAAAAATGTTAAGTTGTCATAAATTAATTATTATTGTATGATATGCCAAATGTATACCAGTTTAGTAGTGGTTTTGTAACCTTAGCCTAAAAAAACGGTATTGCCAAAACCTTGAGATCTGTCGGTAAAAACTAAATTTGACGTTCCACCATTTTTAGTGTTTTGTCCGTTTTTTGACAACCTGTGCCCTGGACATTTTCCAATAACACAATAATTGGCAACCCGACTTAGCTGCTCTAAACTAAATACCGATCATGGATGTTTACAGTCGTTTAGGCGTACCGATGATGTATTTTATAGCGTTGAACGCTCAAAATATATTATATTATAGTAGTTAAAAAAAAACATTTCATTGATGTACTACTTGTAACGATTACCTATACAAACAAAGTAGACATGTCGCATTTTTGGTTTAAATAAGAAAATAGTAAAATTTGTTTCAACCGAGGATAATACTACATTTAGAATAATCCTTATTTTATTTATCTTTACGGTTAATAAAGCTTTAACCACGAGTGCACAGATAAACCAAAGGAGAAGTTATTACCTCGAAGACACCCTTGCCGATATTAATATTATTATAATATAGTAGCGAGTGGTAATTTATTTAAACTGGTCTGTCCTTTAATTCCTTGCGAATTCTCAAAGTAATCAAGATTTTGTTAAATGAGCAAAACATCAAGGATGTATATATCTTTGAGGTATTTAATGCTATAAACGAAGTTGATGAACCTGATTATAATTAATTTACTTCCCAAGGAACATACGTTGTTTACGATAATCGATAGATAAATGATGTGATTGAAATTAATGTTAAATTTTTATTCCGAAGGTTATGCACTTGTTCATTCACCATTAATAACCGTCGTATCAAATATTTTACATAGTTTATGTATTATTTCGCCAACATCCGCCTCTCCCTATTTTTTTAGTTAATTGTACTATTTTATCTGTGTGTGTGCATAGTAATAAGTCTCAGAAACCGAGTTGTCCTAATTATGATTTTTGGGAGATTATTAATTTTTATAATTTGCCTAATTGCAAAAAAAAATAATTATAATTATGTCATTAATATTCTAATATTATTAAATATTAACAGTTGAAATATACTTAGTATATTATGATATTATTAATTAAAAAATCAAAATAAAGTATTTAATACTTAAGTATTTTATTTTTTGCGTACTGTTTCAAAATTGTATACTATTTCATTTTTATGTATTTGATCAAAATGTGGTTGTTTGTTTAAAAACTCAGCGGGCTCTTTCACACTGTTTTTTGTTAAAATTTATGACAACTTTTGACACTTTTTGGTAAGTCGTATTTGTGTAGTTTTCTATAAACTTAAGGTGAGGTTTGATGAACGTTTGATGTTAAACATAGTAACAGTCATTTTGCGAAAGGACATTTCGTAGTTTGTATATATTATAAATTCAGGTCCAATTTGATTATTCGATTTTGCACTTAACGTGTTTTTTGTGTAAACAATATTTTTTGGCACCCGGGTGTTTTTATTTTATTTTTTTCCGTATATAACACTCGGTTTGTGCATTCGAGTCCTTTGAATTATGTATGTATTATTATGTAATTTGTTTTTTTGTTTTTTTCTTGTTTGCTTGCTCCGTGACACTGATTTCTGTAGACAGCATCCGAGTTTCCTGCATAATCTTAAGTATAAATATTGTATTCTACTTAAGCTGCAACCGGTTTGCGCTTATAACGACGTGATATAATATGACTACGACTCGGACGCCGGTCGGGTGAAAACGGCTTGCCCGCGGGGTGTTACCTTGCCCGCAAACCCAATACAAGAGAAGAAAATATACATGTTGTTATTATCGTTGCGTTATTGCGGAATTGAAATTCTATTTGCAAATCAGAGTAGTGGTCGGTTACAATGTTATTTATTCACTTTATACTCCGGTTAGGTTAATCTTTTCTTTATCCGCCGGCTCCTCGGTACTATCTAGTAAGAAAAATAAACGCGGGATGGTCCATAATACAAAGAAATCACGGTCGAGTACTCGTTCCATCACGTTTGGCGTGTAGTAGTATGTTGTGTGGTGAACAGTTTTTTACATACGTACAAGTGCGACCTGCTAGGGTGAAGCACAACAGGAAATCCTCGAGCAAAACGCTTTGTTAAACAGAAAAACACAAAAGGAATTGACGGTCGAGATTGAAGGCTACCCCTTTCGAACGCTTCTACCCTAAAATGTTTTTTTTTTTTTGAAACTAGACACCTTCATGTTTTATATAACGCACCAAAGTTCCCCTCATTTGGACGAAAAACAATATCAGCTTAGTAGCGATTACTCTACGGTCAATTCGCCATAAACCTTTGAACTATTAAGCAAATTATTATAATTTTTTGTATACCGGTATAGTTGTATAATTTTTAATGAAAACTTTTTAGTTCCCTAAAAACATACGGTGTCTTGAAAAATATGTGTTGTTAAGCGCCGTGTTAGGACTGCAATTTGAAAGAGAAAATTTAATGGAAACTTCAGGTCGAGGGTAAGTCGTGTGTAAAGTGAGATTTTTTTTTATTGCTAATCACTCATCTGTTCATTATGCTAATACGACAATGATAAGCGTCATTTATAAAAAATAGTTTAAATAAACAAAATGGTTAATCGCAAGTAATTGACCGGCGGTCTGACGTTAGTGAACGTTATAGTCAAAGTAAAAGCTGCGGAAGTTATTTCTTACAAACTGTAATTGTTTATCGACCCATTTGAAGGTGTTAATTCGCCAACGTCAAACCACTTGAAAATGACCGCCGGTGAGTTGCATAATAATAATCACAATGTATACAATAATATATAGTAGCCTAAAACGACCATATAATAATAACTCAGGATGAGAGACTCGGTTATAGTAGCATTATAATATATTATTAAGTAATTAATATATCATTTGACCGTCTAGCGAATTTTAGTCAATTACCGTGATGCAGTTATACTACTCTATCGTCGTTATGCACCTTAACGGTTAGGCCCTTGTAATTATTGTATTATTATCACTACAGTGCGCATTGGGCAATCACATAGTATTAACGTATCTCCAGTTATCTTCACTGTAGTTGTGCTATGTTGTTTATTATAGTAGCATAATATTATAATATAAAATGTACTGCCCATGATTACATTGTAGAGAAACACTTGTGTATTATTTTCTTCTTGTTTCCTGTTTAAGATTTCTGTAATAGTATATAACTAATAAATAATAATCATGTGTACTAGGTATATAATAATATTGCACACGTTAAATATGTATACGCACTTTGGTTGTGCGTCCTAGTTCTTACTTTCTACGAGTAATTTTCTAGTTATCCGCCAAAACGGTTAGGCTAATACTCATAATTTTGATTCCACGAGAACGCGAACGGGGCAAGTCGTAGTTTTTTTATTCACCGTCGTAATTTTTAAGTATAGTGTTTGATGTAAGAAATCTGAAGGCATGGTGTAATATTTGTATGCCTGGTGTTGGAAATAATTCTAATAAACTAACTAAATATCATTGTAAATAATTGTTTTTAAATATTTAAAAATGTTATATGGATAGTATTTTAACTCGCGAAAATCGACTTTTTGCACTTATCAAGTTTTATTTTTTAAGTACGAATGTGTTTCGTTCTTTAAGTTTTGATGCTCCCCCCCCCCCCCCGGGCCTTAGGACAGTATTGTATGTGTATCGACGGTAAGGACAATGCGTAACACGATCATGCGTACTTAAGTCTCCACCGACCATCAATACCTAAATCGCTGTGGGTACGATGTGCATGTGTGTATGCGGATCGAATTTCTTCGACGGTCATACACGTTTACAATATTATTAACCGCAGCCCGACACGAATACCGGTTGAATATAAGTGTAACGATGTTATAATATTATCTCATCAATCACCCACCACCCCTTGGTTTTCCTGCTGCGGTCATACGGAATACTAAACGAGGTCTTCGAATTTGATTTTTTTCATTCGAGTAATTTATATGGTGGTGGCGTATGTACACGCTGGGAATGGATTAACTTAATACGCGAGCGTTCCCAGTTAGTAATAAATTATGTGTTTAAAGACATAATAACAATAATAATGTTAACTTTATATATCGGAGGTACAGAGAGCTGAGTAAGTCGAAGAACGCATTGAGATTATGTATAAATGGAATCCCGTTGTTAGACGCGTTGGCGTTACATAAAGTCGACGTACACAACGAAAGATTCAATTACATTATGGAAAAACTTGATACGCCCTATGTGTAATGAGCCCGTCTGGTTTTTTTTCCCTTAAAATCGATATATTGTAATGTTAAAGGTGCACACTAAATTCGTGATGTAACTGATAGTGATGGGAATCCGAAAATCAATGTTTCGGCGTTTTATTTTATTTTTAAATTTTCGTCATAAATATTTTACTTAGATACACGGCTTTATATTGTAAAAATATTTAATACCCATGAGATTTTTAAGTAGCTTAAATAGCGTTTTTTTTTTCTGTGAAAATCCGGATTTTCGGTGTCCCATCACTGCACGTGAGTCGTAATACAAAATATAAAACAATTTCACCACTGGCAAAACTATGCACTATGGTTGGGCACCAAACGAGACGAGGACGAACGCTGTTGATAATCCGACTAGAATAATAGTTTTTTGGGGATTAATGACAAAAATGCGTTAAAATGTACTTTAATGGGGAAGACGCTGGATTTCGAAAACAGTGTGCCAATCTTCACATTGCAATGCACGCTATCGGGGCGTTAAATACATATTATTATTAATAATTGTAATTGTAATTGTCTTTGTTTGCAGACTTAGCGAGTGTTATTTTGCCAACAAGGGCACTACTTCGGCAGTGTTGTGCTCGCCCAAATCGCACCACCAACAGCCCCGCCGCAAGAGACACCACCATCATTCGCACCACAACCGACATCAGTCGGCGTCGGCGCCGTTATCCAACAAGATGTCTGCGAGCGAAGACGAGATGCAGACCCGCGCCAATGACATACAGGCGCATCTCCAGTCCATGTTCCACATACTCAGGTCCGACGACAGTCTCAATATGGTACGTAGTCAAACATGTTTTCCGTATAAACAAATTCATTGTAAATATAAAAATTAGATCCAACGATAAACGAAATTAGTCTGATTGGAAGTATTCGCACTAGTTAGACTCCATAAGACACGGTCATCCTGATCACTCTGGGCCTTATGGTATGACGTTTGGTATGAACCCTATTTTATTTAAATGGCCAAACGTTTTTTTAAGTACGTTTTAAATGTGTGTTCACAAATACATTGAAAACGTTCTAGGTTAACTCTTCTAGAGTCCTCTGAACTAAGTCACTTCTTATATGACCTTTGAATCCTAACCCAGTCAAACATGATAAAGTACACTTGTAGTTTTTTTAAATTGGAAATGTTTATTCCCAAATGCAGTTTATTATCCAATATTGATATTAAGAAAAATATTACCCCGATATCAATATAGACGATTGCATTGCAATTAGTTTTAAATGGATTATTTTTAATTTATTATTTTAATTAGAATAATTGGAAATGAAATGCATTAAATATTTTATTTTATTGTTACATGATTGAACTTATGTTCTTATGCTCGTACAATATGCGAGTTTCTATATGGTTATCAAGGGCTGAGCTTTACGTGCCTGAGAAACAGGATAAAAATAATCCTATTTCCTGAGAAAATAGGAGTTATTGATTTTTTATGGAATAAAGTTTAACGAGACGCAATAGTTTTATCAGGAAGTTTATTATTAAACAAAACTGTAATCTAAGAGGTAGTCTAGATGAGTATTCATCTGCTAGAACCCTTTATATTCTTATCACTTGAGGTTGTTGTAAGCATACACCAATGGTATATAGATTTTTTTGTGTCCACTAGAGGAAGGTTCGCTCATTTCCTCTGTGCTCCTTGCTTACAAATTTGGGAAGGAAAGCGATACCGTGAACCTATCTGTCGTGTGTTTCGAATCAAAAGCGAAGTTCGATACAATAATAATATAATAATTCTCATAATCAAAACTCGGACAATAGCTTATGGTAGTGATAATTACCTGTTTAAAATTACACTACAGCCCGCTGGGAAGGTTTTACCTACACGGTTCCATCTTTCGTTCGATATTATACTCCCGGTTAGGTCCTTTTGTCTCATCTCACGGTTTTTGAGTTTACGCCGCGACCTTGACACGATAATGAGCTTGGCCGGTTTTTTTGTACGTAGAAATCTCCAAGGCGCACGTACCTATTACCACCATTTTATATTATTATTATTATAACACGGTGCACGGACGAGAACAACGCTATGTTGTTACCCCATCACCCTGTATAACATAGTATACTACCGAAGCTGTGACCGTATGATATATTTTACTCAGGTTTTGTGTTCCGGATGACTTTCTATAGTTCAATTTCTACAACACTCAATTCCGTGTCGTGCTGTCTATTATATTCGGTTTTCTTTATATTATCCGCGCTTTGTAATATGGATTATAATGCGTATTATATATTGTTGTGTTGGCTTTCAAACACATTTACGGTAGTCAAAAAACTCGTTTACCCACCTCGAAGCGGCTTTCCACGTTGACCGTTTATAGTCAAATGGGGCAGCGGTCGTGTTACCACTGTAGTGACAATTGAATGATTCCAACACATCAAACTGACCACCACCGGTATAGGGTTGACATGTCCAAGACTATTGTTTTGTCGTGTTTTAAAATAACGCTATTTTCAACAGTTTAAAACCATATCTAAAATTGAGTTGTACATTAATACAAGATACAAAATCTTGATACATTCATAAATAATAGTGTTCATGTAATGACAATATGTGTATTAAATTAAATCTAATAGATTGCGACTCACGAATACTTAAATGCATTCTGCTCATCTCTGATTTACAATTTGTTTAGAAATGATAATACTGACGAATTTACTCGACCTTCCACCGAGTTCTGTCATCGTTATGGCGCTATTATCTTTCGGTTGACCGTTAAAACCTACATATTATATTCTTTTGTCAGGACATATCCAATCTGTTAACACCGACAATTTGTCTTCTGTGTGTCAGGATCGTCGTAATGTGTTAGGAGACCCGCTTGGCGACCGTATCGATGATAATCTAGGACGTGGTCGCATCGAAATCACTGACAATGCCTTTACAATAAAAGTTTTATAATACATGTTCCCCGACGTTAATACTCGAGTAAGATCCTTGATGGGCTACATAGCAGCGAGCGCCACGCTGTGTGACTAAACAGGTCCGATTAAATTGAATCTATTTAAGTTCGTCCTTCCTCACTTCCTTCGCTCTTAAAGAATGTTGGTTTTTTTCTCGCCAAAAGTCAACATTAGCAACGACACAAGCACTAATTGTGTAGAACGCGTTTTGAACGCACTTCACTAAATTGCCACCGACGTTTGGCTTGATGTCTAAATAATTGGCTAGCATAACAAACAATTTTTTTTTATTGTCATTTTAACGACTGACTTCGTGACTGTGTTAAGGGTTCTCTCCGTGTGCTTAAAAAAAAAACAATTGTGGCAATTCTTTGTGATAAATATTGTGACGTACCACCAGCTCTCAAGGTTGTTTAACGCCGCAATTGTTGCGCCGCGGGTAATAATTATTGTTATTTTTGCCAGTCGATTTCGCTTTATCCACACGTACTTAAGCAAACGCTTGTGAGAATATTTTTTTTCTTGTGTTGCTGTCCCTCTCTTACTCCCCCTCGATCCGAGGAGGTCTCGATTTTTCGCATGTAAAAGCGCGCAGTCCATAGTCGTGCATGTGATAATAACCGAAGGTCGTCGAGATAACGCCACTGCAAACAATCAATGAAAACACAATAGGTCAATCACAAAACGGATTTGCGTCACGGATTGTAATACTACAATAATAATAGTAATAACGACAACAATAACAATAAAATATTGTAAAGCGTTAAACACCGCTCCGGGAGGGGGAGGAACGTTTTAGTCATCGGTTTTGCAATATCTAAATCAGATGTTTATGTGGTTTATCAATTGATTACACACACAAGCTATACTTCGTATAATGTTCTTATATGAATAATCATATTATCGTTCACGTAGACGTACAAGGTACATCAAACCGATCCTGGTAAAGAAAAATAGAGATTCACTTTAAAACTTGCATCAGGTGCATCTGTGTTGGAGACTGTGAAGAGAAGCAGATGGAGTATTCGCTATTTAATTTTTGTTAGTCTCCTAGGACACCCATTAAATGACTTTATTTGTAATTTGACATTCAAAACTTTTCAGTCATTATTTCAAACATCTAAAGCCTTAAATTTAAACCCCAATCAGTGTAAAATACCTAACATAATTTCTCTGGAAGAAAGTACAAAAGTTTTCATGTTTATTCGTGTTGTCAAGGATTGTTTGCTCCATAATAACAGCGTTTATTCAGTGGCTTTACAATGTACTATTAATTGTTAAAAAGTCAGTTTAGCACCCACACCTGTGACGTATTTCTCACAGTCTGACGTCTTATCCAATATGGTATGTCTGGTTTATCGGCTGTCGATAATTATTTCGCACGGCGCTCTCGGATCTGTCCTTTTTAACTACGCCAGTCAACAATTAATCATCATGGACGTCATGACACAGTAAAATATGTATTCTTGTTCAAGGGGTAGAACCCACGTGTACTTTGAGTCGATCATCACGAAACGGTTGTCAACCTTTCAACACCTCCTCGTGGCTTTCACGCGAACACCGTCCAAGGCCAAGGACGCACCAGCACCCTTTGAACCTAATAGCATGATCGTCGCGATTGATTATATGAGTACTTATTATTAGTTTTTTTTATACTAAATAGAAGGTATCTTCGTCAGTGTAAACACTTTCGGTGCTCACACAGTAACCGCGCGTGATACGAGAATAATACTGACTACTGTTATACTTTGTCCGTTAACCGAGTTGCTTTTTTTCTTATTGTAAAAACTGGGATCTATCGTGTATCTTCAGTTGTGCTTACAAACAAACCAACGAATAACAGTACTACTAATTTATAATTGCTAACAGGTACAGACAACATAATATATTATAGTTCTTTCTGAAGTTGAATACTATTTTATTTTTTAGTTTTGTTTCTTTAATCCTTTGAAACCTCGTATGCATTTCCCTAACTTGCTACAAAAAAGACAATTTGACATTGGCGGAATTTTAGGATGTCTAATTAACTCAAAACACTACAGGAGCAATTTAAACTTTTAATTAAGACTTGTTAAATTGTCTTTTTTATCAAATCTTTTACTAAAAAAATGTAGATATTTTGTGTAGTTCCAAAATTTCTGACAATGTTATTTGACATTTTGAGAGTTTCCATATTCTATGTATAATTAGATCCATTTTAACCATCAAGTAATTTGTTTTTGCAAGCGTTTATAATAATTACTACTTCGACTTGGTTTGTTGGAAATATATTGATGTAAGGTTTTTGTAGTTACTTGTTGAAATTTGATTTTCTACTGTTCTAATCTAAATTATCGTGGGTGTAATTCGTATATGCTCGACTATACAATGTAAATATATATTGTATAGACTAAATATTTTATATTATAATAAAATTATAGACTAGAAAATAAGAGAAATCAATCATTCACATTGTAGATATATGTGAGCTACGCCGAGTAGGTGAAAGATAAAATCAAGCCGGACCCCTTTTGTTCTCGACAATTGAAGCCGAATGACACAATACAATGATGCCACTTATATAAGATAGTTTTAAGACGGCATTAGACCCGATGTGTTGACCTCCACCAGAAATGATTTGAGAGGAAGATTTTTTGAAAAATTGTGTTTTAATTATGTTCTGGTGTTCTTGTCACCAGCCACGACTGTATATTTTTATCCATGACGGACTATAACAATCAATCCGTGCGACGTACAGCTTACAATATGGTTTCTATGTTCAATATTTTTTAATATTTCTAGATAGTATAAACCATCTGTCATCAGCCATGGTCGTTCGTGGTTAATATTATTATGTTATTAGGGCCGCTAGTCGATCGTTTGTCAGACGAGTTGTTATTTCTACAATCCCTTGGGCTGTGTTTATCCTGCACGTCGTCAATGTCCATAATTATTATAATCGGAAACATCTCGTTAATGGCGTTATGATAACGGCGTCCGAAAAATAAAATGACAATAATGTTATTAATTATACTACCAAACGTCCATCGACCGGTTTCGCCATAAGACAGGCGCCTGACCAACATTTTCACCGGCTCCCGGATCGCCTCAGGCTCACAATATTGTTGCCTCGCTAATACTTTCAATAAGTATCCGGCACGTTTGATTATAACTAGCAAAATTTCTTATTGCGTATGCATTATCATCGCCTGTATGTTGTCCCAGAAGAGAGAGAGAGAGAGATAGAAATGTCTGAACCTTTTTTTTTAGGTTTGACGTGTGCCAATCTATTTGATTGTTTTTGGTAAGATCATACTTTTCCCAAAAGGTGAAGAGGAATGATTGTAAAGTAACTAAATGAGTGTGCGTAATAAATGTACGAGTACATTATGTATCTTTAGAAAAAAAGTAATTGGAGGTTAAGAGGAAGACGCTCCGTGATTGGATAAAATAACCTAACCCGACCATGTGTAATAAGTAATAAATATTGTTATTTATTGCTTGTAAAATCTACTCAAGCTTCGAAATAATGTTGTTAATATGTAGGTACATGGAGTAATGAGATCCAAAGGAAGAACAACTTTTACAACATTTTTAAAGGAGATTAAAATAAAATAATATTTCCAATTTATTCTTGTGGGGGATCAAATGTAGATTAGTTTTCTTCAATATTTAAAGTTGATAAAAAACTTGACTTTGAAAAATTATTACTTTATCCTTTTTTGATCCTCACTATTGTCTTATGTCAGAGTTAACTCTTTTAGAAAAGTATAAGTATAATACATCATGTCTTTTCAATAGCAATTTCATTTTATGTAAAACCAGTGTATCAAAATATAGAATACAGACAATGAATATTAATGCCATTATATTAATACAAAATCAATTCACTACAAAATTTACAATAAATTGTATTGGCAAGCATACAAGAATATAATATATTCGAATTTATTTCATATGAATTTTTATGTTCTGTCTTGGGTTTATGCTTAATACGAAACACGCTCTTATAAGATTATTTACATTTTAAATACTTTTTTATGTATTTCTTTTTATTACTTTTTTTAAGCGGATCTGGTTTTCTATGTATAGTTCGGCCGTCGGTGCCTTATTATTATGCGCATTTTGGTGTTAAAATGTACACATTAATTATTTTTTTTGAAAACATTTTGAAGACCTTCCAACAGTTGACGAAAATATAAATTACATCATTTCGTCGAAATTCCATCAAATTAGAAATTATTTACGCTTGTTTTCAAAGCCTTGGGTAATTCTCTTTTAATTCTGCAGATAAAAAAAAAAAAAAGACGTTCAAAAAATAATTTTAAATACTTGTAGTTTTCATTTTACAAAAAACGTCTGTCGAGGCTTTTTTTATCGCGCCAAGTGCTGTTTTCCTTTTTAATAAAGTTCAGCGTCCTTCTGATAAAACGACGGTGTAATAAAAGTTTTATGATACTTAAAATTCGTCAATCAGTAAAAAAAGAACTAAACCTTTCTCAGACATATTCGTTTTGGTACATCTGAATTTTTGTGTGATTATTTACAGCTAAATGTTACGAATTTGCATTTCTCGTTTTCTCATTCAATTTTTGTTTTTTTTCTTTGTGTTGTGTTAGTATATTTTATGTACTGATTAATGTCATTTTATTGCCAATTTCCTTTTGTTTTTCCACCCCGCACCAAGATCATTGTGCAGTTATAAAACGTGGAATAGAAATCCAAAAGTCAAATTATCCTTAAAATTAGTACTTGATCAACGGTTTGTTCTCGTGACCAAATTTCCTTCAAGAGTACTCGCTTTTATTTTTAAATAATATTTATAATTTTTTTTTTTTTTTTTTCAGGCAGTCAAGCTGGAAAGCGTACATTCCGGTCGCACCAGGTACCTGGTGGTGGTGTCCTGCGTGAACGGAAGCGGACAAGAGGAATCCTGCCTTCTGGGCTTGGACTGCAACCAGCGAACTACCATTGGCTTGGTGCTTAGACTCCTGGCCGACACTACCATAACTCTAGACGGAGACGGGTAAGTTCACATACATTTCACTAAGTTTTTGCTCCGTTGGTAGTGAAATGCGAAAAAATGTGTCATTTATAGCGATAACATAGTCGAAGGTTAGACTTATAAAATATTAAATAAAAGTAGAATTTCCGATGGGGTTTTTCAACTCCTCAAATTCTCCTCTGTAGTTGCGCCACCGATGTACATTGTCTTACATTTATTTCTAAATTGAAATAAGAATAGACTCGATCACGATAAGCGGCATCCACTAATGCTTTTTGTTTTGGCTAGTTTCCACCAATCTAGCCCCCCCCCCAAAAAAAAAACACTAATTGTATATGTTAATTTAGGACCGTCTCGAACACGAGGATATTCAATTTACACGTGCGTTATTTATCGTTTTTTCTGTTTTATTTCTTCTGAATCGCGTTTATTTATTATATAATCGCTTTGTGTATAATTGGTACATGGCGAGCCAGATGATTATAATCCGGATAATCTAGCGGATAAATACCCAAAGTGTGTGTATTGTGTTCGGATGACTAACGTTCAAGGCGAAAATTCATAATTATTATTCATCTAGGTTCGACAGAAAAATAACTTACAGTTTGCACTCCTCCTTAGAATAACTATAATAATATAGATGATAAAAAAATATAAAACCGTATCCACCCGGGGAAACTCTAATGATGGTTATTAACGGACGCCCTTCTCTGTCTATGAAGATGTGTGGTCATTCATCACATTTCCGGTTTTGTTTGTTAACCAATCTCCTCCGATGTAAACTTTTTAATTTTTAATTGTCGGTCCTCAATCGTTACGTTTCATCTCGAGTTAATGTTATAATAATTAATGGTTTTACTGTAAGTTATAACTTATCAATCATCAAAAATAACAAATTAGCAATTGAAGGCCCTCGAAAACGTACTCTATTTACGCATTATAAATATAATGGTTTTGTAAACAACTTCAACAACAAAAGTAAAGTTGACCTACTCAACCATTCATTTCAACATCGATTTTAACATAAAAAAAATACAAATATGGAAAAAAATATTGTAAAATCGTTTGGAATTCATTTAATTTCATTAATACCTAACTTCTTACTTTAACAGAGAGACATTAGATTAAAATAAGTCATACTTTTTTTCATTTTTATTTTCTTTTAATAACAATTTGTTTTTTTTTTTTTATAGCGGATTCAGCGTGAGCGTATGCAGCCGACATCACATATTCAAGCCCGTTTCCGTACAAGCCATGTGGTAAGTTTTGTTTTATCAGCTTTTTAATCCGTACAAAAATTACGATTTTTAATAAACATAATAATTTTGATCGTATGATACGCACTTGACTTGTTTTTGAAAAAAAAAATATGACAATTGATTCCTTTTCGATCCATTTGTTTGGTCATCGACAAATAAAGCTGAAACGAATCAAATGAGCTGGTAAAATATAAATTGCTTAGAATCACAATTATTGCCATAACGGGGCGCGTTCAAAAGAATTTTTTCAATGTTTTTGTCCACTCTTTGTTAATTAATTTCGATAAAAAGTGGTCACGGTCAAAACGTCCACAATCGTTTGATTATTATTATATATTTTTTTTTTTTTAATTTTCTAAACCAGGATGCGATTTTTTTTTCTGTTCAGTCAAATCGCGTCAACCGTGTAACCTGACGTTGTGTTTATTTTCGTGTTATTTTATTTTGATGTATCGATTAGCCGCTAAGAAAACGTCTGACGCAAAACATTTCAATTAATTTTGATGGTCAATTTTCATAATAATAATAATTATTATTTTGTATACGTTTTGCCCCGTCTTGTATAATATTAGAATGTATATATAATCGCAATAGACCGTTGACGGAGACGACCTTGCCTTACGAAAAAAAATAAAATGAAAACCAAACTGCTAAAAGACAGACGAGCGAAGGCCATATAAGGGAGGATTCAATAAATTCGTGCGGTTTTATAATATTTAACTATGGCTATTATTATTTTATTTTTATCATTGATTTAGAGTAATATATGAATGCATCAATGTCATTTCCATACTTAATAATTACTTTGGAATTGCGCATTACACTCAACACCCAATCATTTTGAGCTGGCTCGACGGATTTTATTTAACTTCAATACATAGTCGTGAAGGGAGAAAATAAGTATAAATAAATAAGTTTAACTAACCTCCCGGCTATTCATTTAGTGGAGGCGAAGGGTTTATTTCTAAAACAAACGTTTTTGTGAGAATATAACATCTTTAATGTAATCTGCAGTATCATAATATGTTGTTGTTGGGTAACAAACCGACAAGTACAGACGTTAAAATAAAAATTATATCACATTGAATAAAAATAAAAAAACCGCGCTGTGTGCTTCGAATAAAGTCGATCGGTTGCACAACGGTTTGTATCGACAAGTGTTTCGGGAACTCTATTGTTATTATTTTTTTTTTGTTTTTGGATTGTAGTCGGTTGTTAAGTATGCAAAGAAAGGTGTAAATATATTAACTATCGGTCCACCGCAAGAATAAGTTTACGCGTGCACGCAGTGACACGGTTCCCAAACGATGGCGCAACAAGATGTATACTATATTAGATATAATAATTATGTGTAAAATGTACCTGTTGCAATGAGACTATGGGTGATTATTGGTGGCCTGTTGTTTTTTGCGCAATTTTTCACTTTAAAGCTACCTCCAACGTTCGGCGGCAATACTTAGTTTCATATCGTGTGTTAGATGCGTGTGAACAAGTTCTTATATGTATATTATGTCCTAGAATATACCTGTTACGTGGTGTGCATAATACAAAAAAAAATATACTTACATTTTGTTGGCATTCAACATTTTTTACTGAAAAAAAATATACATTGAAGTGGGCCGCCAATTATTTAGAGCAAGTGTGATTGAACATTTTCACAAAGAAATAACCATAAAAAAACGTAATTAACGTTATAACATTTTAACATCAGAATATTTTTATTTATTACTTTGATTAAGTTAGCAGTCGAAATTGGCCCATTAAGTCAGAAGTTACCTCCCCTAATAGTATAGATTATTATAAAGTCACCTCATTTCAGCCTAAATAAAACAATATTAATCGCTTGGAAACGGTTAATATTGATAGATTATTTCAGTTAACCTTCGATTAAATGCCATAGTCGAGACGCTGGTGCAATAGTGGTTCTGAGACATACTATAATATAATATTATTATATATTTTGTGGCAACAAACGCGTTGGCGGCAGACGCTTCGGCATTGTTCGTGTACATATCTAAGTAATAATTATAATAGTTAAAACCTATTGCGTATAATTGAATAATGTTTAGCCGAGTGCAGTTTGTTCTTGTGCAGCCGTTCGGAATAATCAATTGCAAGTGACTAAGAGCAACGTTAAGGCGTAGTAAATGTAAATTCGAGAAGGATGAGAGATATACGCAAGTGTAATATAAAATAAGCAAAATTTTTGTTTAAATCGAGTTCAGTGAAGCCAATCCTTGTGTTGAGTTGAGATAATCGCGACTACGTTTTTAAAAATATCAACTATTATTTTATTTTAATTTCTCATTTCCCTACTTTTGCTATGTCGCCCGAGTATTATTTCAATAGTTATACGCGGCTGAGGCCGTTTAAATATTTGATTACTTAATATATTTTTTTTTTTTTTTGTGGCAACTGTGGAATATATTTCCAATTGGTTTTACTAAACTAAAACAACTATTGCCAGGTCGTATAAACAACCATTAAGTAAGAGAATATTGGCAAATCCCTTAACACATTTCATCATTGGTCACTCAAACATCAAATCGGGAACCAAAATTAAACGGTCAATTACGATTTTAATGAACCGTGAAATTAAAAAAAAATTTCCTATGCAAATCAGCGGCAGATTTTACCATAAGTTTAGTCTTATGTACGACATTTGGGTTTTCATATAGTCTCAGTGACTTTAGGATCATTTGATTTCCCAACGATCTCTCTCTCTCTCTCTCTCTCTCTCCCTCTCCTTCACTAACCTATTAAAAATCATGAAGGCGCCACAGGGAATTTTTTTTAGATTGACATTTCACAAATTGGCTTTCTCAGACGTTTGTATTTGTTTTTGTTTTATATCTATATTGCGCAATACGTGTCGGCCACGCGATCGTTACTGTTATTACCTATTATTATTATATTTTTCGTGCCATTAGATGTAGATTATATATTGCACACCAACGACTACTGTTGTTATTGTAGCAGTGAGAACGAAATTAATGAGATTTTTCTGTTGCAACTACACTTGGTCACAGATTTTGATAAATCAACCGTAAGACCTTATCGTTTCGGCGTTGCGTCACAGTTAATTTACTACTACCGTCTGTTGTGCGTTTTCGACATGCATTGTGTGCAGATCGATCGAATGATTTACGTGTACACAGTAGCTCGGAATTTGGATCTATATTCGAATATGGAATATATCGAGCCGCCGTCTCGATCAATCTTGTGTGTGGGTACTTGGGTTTGAAATCAAAATTCTGGCGCACTGATTTTGATTTTAAAACTACCAGAAATTTGAAATCGTGTCCGACTGCTAGTGTAACACAAAATATCTATGGGTGAAGCCCCGCGTTCTGGTATCGCGTTCAGAGAGAGCTGCAGATAGAATTTCACCGTTCACAGCAAAGAAAAAACGGCCGATTACAATATTGTTATTGTATTGATAAACGATGATAAAAACACACATTTTATACTTATATTTACTACTCGAGTAACACGAGACGTTTCTCTGTCAAACGTCTGTTGTATCCGCTATCCGAATCCAATATCATACAAATAATATACTCTTTCTCACCGTAGAAATTATATTTGTATAGCATAACGTGCGTCTCCTAGTTTTTTCTTTACCATTTACCGGATGAACAATGAATACTTTGTAAACGAACGATTTACAGACCAGGGGAATGCCCATAGGCACTTTTATCACTGCCTCCTTGATAATAATAATAATTATAACTATTATTATTATTATTATTATTATTGATAGATGTGTGTTTCAAACTCTGTTACTTCTCTCTTTCTCAAACAATTTTTTTAACACAAAAAAAAAGTGTAACTCTATATACATGAACTCTTGACGAGACCAATTATTATTATTATCGTCATTGGTATGGAAAATAAAACTATCTGGTTTAGGCGAGACCTGCAGTATAGCTACGCGTAACCCGAGGCTTGTTTGTTATTAGAGTATATACTGTATTTACGCATAGCGAGAAATATGTGCGTGATATTGCTTTATATTATATTGATGTGATAACATGCAAAACTACTTGGGTTCGCTGTTCGGTTACTCTGTTGTTTTATCTTTAAACATAATGAGTACATTTAATAAATGGTTTATAACCTGAAAACCTAGAGGATATATTGTAATTTTAAAACTTGAACATTTTCTGAACGAGATGTGTTTTTTACGTATGTATGTCTACGGAATACACTAACCTACGGGTCCTTCAAAATGGGCGAGTTGATGGTTTTGAGATTTTTTTTGTAGTTATCTGAGCCTTATAGAGTTGTTCTGGCAAATTTGTATGAACTTATTTAGTTTCATCTTGATAATTAAATAAATTAGTTTTAAAAATATTATGATAGAAAACTACTTTGTTTCACAAATTTGATAATCGTATTAATTTCATCATCTCACTTGTTGTTCCATACTTCCATCAAATCTTGGAATCACTTTTAAATGTGATATTCTAGACAACTTTTAAGTAAAAACTCCCTTTAGATTTTTAATAAAATATAATTTTTTTTTTTTTATCAAAACTATAATATTGTTGCCTTACACCGCACCTAACTAATCATGAATTTAAGAATCTTATTTTGATCAAAAGGAAATTTCGATGATATGATTGCCAACAAAACAGTACATTATGCATAAGTTCCCTTAAGCGGATTAATCCTTGTGCCTTATCTAATATCTATAGATTTTTTTTATGAAATTTGTTTAAAACCATCCCACAGATTTTTATATTCAGGAACATCAAAATAGATAGTGAATATTGTAGTGTTGACTATTGTTGTTGTGATAGTTAAAATGTGAGTATCGCTCTTCTAGTCGACGAGGTGGTTTCAAGAATAATAATTTTTGAACTATTTGCAATGAAGTAATTTAACACGAAATTTGATGTGCAGCCAATGCGTTGCCGTAGACCGTCGGTTAAACACTTGTACTTCACTCCATGCAACCGTGTGTCGACCGTTTTGATACTCGTTAAGGATATTAT